AGCAATGGACTTCTATTTCTTACATATGTAAAAAGCATTTAAAACAATCATTACAACACATCTACTTTTGTTTGTTAGGGAGAAGTTAGAACATGTAGAACATACATGAAGAAATAAGATTAGGATAGAATTAATATTAGTCATTTAGATATCTTATAGATTCCTTAATTTTACAAGAAAGCACTGCTCATAAGACAAAGCATACAATATTTTAGATAATAATAAATATCGTTTATACACGTAGAAAAATTAACGTTCGTAAAATGCAGGTAAATGTAGAAAAATATAAAATGGGATTAAATTGTTATTTTGCTGAATACATGATACAACAATTATCAAAGGTATGCATAAGGCAAACAATAAAGCCGCCTTCATAGTTCAAATTAAAGTATTGAAAGCTACATCCTGCTTAAATCTTCTCATGTTGTGAATCTATAAAACAGAGATAAGAATTGCACATACAAAAGAAAATCAATAAAAGAAAAAAATTGACTAAATGATTATCGAGTTCTCAATCCAGCATGTAAACTAATAGGCCAATGATAATGTACGACGTGCAGCTTTTTAGTGTCCTTCACCCTTGAGAACCTGGTTAAATCGAGATAACACCAGTGTGTAAAGCGTGGGCGCATCTAGATATGTTACATCCATTCATTCACAATTTAAATTTAAAAAAAATAAACATAGGAATGTCAACCAGTCGCGAAGTTAAATAAATATTCCAAATCAGTGCATCGTCAGATTGAAATGGTGATTAAAGTTAACCTGCCCTAGTTTTGATTTAAGAGAGGTTATCACAAAGTTCCTGGACTAGCGCCATGAAATGAAAACTGCATGAGGCACATTGATGATGTTTTACATAATTATTCAGTTCCATTATCTTTTTTATCTGCTCGATAATATATGAATCATAAGTGCTTCTAATTGTTTATGTTTTTGTAAGAATGTAATGAAATGAATATCATTGCATATTTTCTAGCTGAGTGCATCTCAGATGAAATGCTATAATATGAATTCGTTTTCATTCAATAATCACGTTGATACACTCTTGTTTAATGACATTCTGTAAAAAAAAGTTTACTCAAGGGGGGGGGGGAGAGAGACTTGCATAGACCTATTTAAGTTCTGAGTACACAGGGTACAGAAGAAATAAAATACATCCAGAGTATCTGTTTATATGGCAAATGAAATTCAGAGAAAGGAAAGACGTATGTTGAATTTCTATTCCATATGAATAAGAACTTCAGACACCCTTTATATTTGTACATGTTGTATGCTTATAAAAGAAACACCAGGACTGGCTTCAAAATATTAACGAATAATAATACGACTTTAAAAAAATCTGCACCTCTTCCATCTAAGAAATTATTTCAATGCATACACAGTTGAAAAATATTGAAACTAAAGTCTGAAAATTTCTCACAGTGATTATTATGATACCGGGATTGCATTAATTGGTAGAGATCCGATAGATATGTCATTTACACTACCCCCAGCGTTGGACATATGGATATCCTGCAATATGATATAGAAAAAAAAATCATGAAATCACTCGCATGCACGTGTGCTGGAATCTGATTGGCTGAAACTTGAAATGGCTATAACTCCCTTGTTTTTCAACCAAGCAGGATGTCAGTTTTAAAAAAATTAAAAATGAAGGGATGAATTGCTAAAAATGATTTAAAAAATATATATACCAACTTTTAACAAAAATAATTTTTATAAAGAGGGACTCCTACAAAAAGGTTTATCACAAATCTTAAAATCATTTTTTGCATTTGCACTCATGTGCGTGCATGCTTTTGGAGCGAGTGAAATTAAAAATACACTTGAATGAGTGATTTTTAAAACTTTTGGACTGAATGCTTTAATATATAATATATCAAAATATATAGATAGTGTAGACAAGATGATATGGTCATAACGCACATTCACATGCGCACGGATGCAATGCTAAAATTTGAATATAACTTTTATTTTATAAAATCTTCTCAGGGAAAACGTTGTTAAAGTCAAAAATGCACAGAAAATAATTCATGTCTTATTTAAAAAGCATTTACAAGGAATATATAAATGGCATTCCATAAATGGTAAGTGGGGACGTTAAATGTTTTTTCAGAATTCAAACAGGCCCAAATGTAATTTTATTTTACATAAATTAGTTGTTTATTGCGATACTCAAGTTTGATGTATTCTATTTTATATAGGTTTTAGAATGATAGAAAGCAAAGACAGAAAGAATAAAATCTACTTAATTTAGTCATTCAATATAGTTTTGGGTTTCTCAAAATAATTATCAAATGTTGTAAAAAGTGGCATCTTGTAAGACTATGAATTTCGATCCAGTTTGTAGAAACCATGTTTATGTGAAGGTATCTTAGATATATCTATATCCCTCTTCTATACTGACGTTCCCAGCAGGATCTGCGGTTATAATTCATTAGAAAAAAAAAAGAAATGACTTATAGTTTCTGACTTCTGAGTTTTAGCATTAATAAATTTCGACTTAACCACTATTTTATTTTTTTAAAGATTAAGACGGAAAGGATCATATTCATTTGGATATCCTAAGATACTGTAGTCTAGTTATACAAAATTTTATTCACAAATAAAATGTGTGGGATTGGGCAGCAGGCAAAATCTATTTTAGCCCTCTCTCTAATTTAAGACACTGTAGTAGTAGTAGTTAAGTAGTTAAAGACATGGACATTTTAAGAAAATATCTTGACAAGGCAGAGTCTAATAAATTTTTAAGCCAAAAAAAAGACAACCCTTAAAATCATTGTCATTTTTTAAAAGCATTGAAGATTAAATCCTGTTTAATAATCTTATCATCGGACATTATGAAGCAAAGAGGAAGATAATAAAATATACATCCTGTTTAAAATCTTATACAATTTACAAAAGAATAAAAAAATACCCAGATTTTGAAAAAAGAAAATATAACACGTGAACTGAAGTATGACTGATGTTGTCAAGCGTGTATGCAAAACAATAAACCGATCATATTTTTTCATATCATACATTGAGACGTAAGGTTTTCGTAGATGACCTTTACCTTTGTGAAGATTTAGTCTACTGGCAAATCAATTCAATAAATGTTATATGTCCGGCTTATTCGAGATAACACAGGCGTGCAAAACGTGGGCTTAGGAACTAAAAGTACACATTTAATCATTACAGTAAAGTTTAAAAAAAAATAACTATATGCAGCATACATCTACGTAACAAGAACAGGGGAAATATGGGTCAGGTTTTAAAAGAAGTTTGTTTGAATTTAAGTAGATACATGTATTACCAATAAGACTTCATAAAATAGTTCATACACACAATAAAAGCTTCGCAAACACTTCAGATCTGATAACTGTGTAAATCAAGACTGTTTATTGAGTGACACACGGTAACACAGTAAAATAAATAAGTAATTTAATGTTCTATAAATTTCTCATTCATATGATGAGATTTGATTGACAAAATAGCGGTATTTGACTTTAATTTAAATAGAATTGAAATTTTACAATAAAAATGTCATTTTCAAAGTCCATGTAGTCATTGTTCATAAACGTCAACGAGAAAAAAATAATAGAAATAAGTTTATATTAATACAAAAGGAACAAACTTTTGGAAAAATGATTCAAATTAATTGTTTTTCAAATGTTACCCATCCTTTTTATATTCTTTCGAAGCAGAATTTATTCGGCAACACTACTAGAAGAAAACTCTTGTTGCATTCCTATAAACAATTTGGATTAAGGAAGTAACAGAAGTTGTAATCAGTTGTTTGTCTACTCGATATATCCCAAAATGAAGTAAAAGACATAATAATGTCTTATACATGTATCTCTTTCATATTTACTAGTATTTGTTTTACTTACTATGGACATTAAAGGTCAGCTTTGGCAATAAAACTGTGCTTGAGGCCGGATTCCTGGTCACAACTACAGGTTACATGTGTATGTATCAAAAATATCAAAAGTCTCATTTAACATTTTTACAGGTTCCATGGCTTGCATAAAACAATGCAAAAGAAACCTACCATTATATCGGAATTCTGACTAACGTTTATCATGCTATTTGTTAGGTCATAATTTACAAACTGAATTGTCAGGGGGGATTTTTCTGTTTTTTTTCCGATAATGACAAGAAGCACACGGCGGATGTGAACAATTGACAGGGGATGCTTACACCTTTACTGTAACTGATCAAACCTCTGATGTTTTAAAAGATCCATGTTTGCTTTGCTACTTTTTTGTATTGTTACCTTGGGAACTGTTCATTATCTTCATTTTTACATCTCATTTCGCAATTAAGAACCTCTTAAAGTGACTTTGTAAAGAATTTTGCTTCTTACCAGATATTTATTTCCTTTTGACATCGATCAGTTTAAATCGAGAAAACACCTTCATGTAAAGTGTTGAATCTTTGGTAATAATAAATACACATTATATTATAATATAGCTTGTTTGATTGATTGATTGTATATTGTTTAACATTCCCCTCCAGAATTTCTCACTCATATGGAGACGCTACCACTTGCCGGTTGAGAGCTGCAAATTACAGCTAGTTTGAATGTAGAAAATATAAGAATAGAAAAATAATATAACAAATAAAACAGAGGTCACAGAATTTTTATATTTGGAGTTATATGTCGGATTCTCTTTTCTTTTTACATGTAGTGGGCTAAGTATTGCCATCGGGTTTACCCGGTAGGTAGTTTATAAATAAGAGAGACCGTATTTAAATCTATTATGGACGTTTATTATCCTTTTTTGAATAAAAAACACATTTATCTTTTGATATATTTTATTGTGTTTTAATTATAAATAACATTTTTAATTTGCTAGACAACATGTACCTGTGACATGAACAAAGAAGAGAAGTGCATGAATATATCTATCAATCATAAGTAATTGAGTGCAATATTTCACATATAAACAGTAAAAATGAAGTACATGTATATAAGAAACATACTTACACAAAATTTGTCAATAAATGCTTAACATAAGAATAAAAAGAGAAAATATCATATGAATAATTTTTATAAAGAAATTCAAAAATGAACTGCTGGATGAAAAATGCACTGTTGCCTAAAATGTGCATAGTGTTTGCCATTTTACTTGTCTAAAGCCATTTTCATAAATGGTTGCCCTATTTTCTCTATTTGTAAGTAACAACATTATGAAGTATTATGTCTACACCATGAAAAACCAAACTATAAATTACAAAATTAATACAAAATGTCTGTGTTCATTTTTGAGATATATATATTTTATATAAAGGTATTTTTTCCTCTTCTTTCCATGTCAAGGTAAGTTCGGGATTTTCTTTGAGTACTTCTTGGCTTTTGCGATATCAATGTAGATCAGAAGATCTCGGAGGAGGTTTCTTCCCTTTTGCTTCATCAACCTCTGGAATTTTATGTTCAGTATCGTTCTAAAAATAAGAAAAAATCATCACTAAAAATAATTAATGAGATACCTACGTCTGAAAAATACTTCTAGAATAACAAATGTAGAAGAAAGAAACTCAATTGTGCAACTAAATCATTTGAGAGGGAGAAAGAACAATATTTGTTTTTTTTTTTTTAATTTCAAGCATTTTAATTTGTTATAAACATTGGTATACATGTATGTTGGCGATAACAAGATTTTGGCGGTATTATTTATTTTCTTTTTTATTTTAAAATTGCATATCTCAAGGAAATGTTTTTTTTTCTCAAGTGTTAACACAAAGAAAAAGCTTACTGTTTAATTTTGTTTTTATAGGCAGCATCACGATAGGTTGGATTCCCTTGCTTGTTTAATGATGCCTTGGATGCACTTTTATCATCACCTAAGAAGATAAACGTACAAAAACACAACACTAGTCGTAACTACTTTACATAATAATATATTCACAGGCATGATTTGATTTGATTTTTTTGTTTTTTATTATAAAATCACCTTTTTTACATGAAAAAATATTTAAATGTTGTGTTTGCAAATGCATAGAAGCGTACGACACAATTTATTTACAAAAATAACGTCTCGGTCATTTACACTTGAAAAAGGGGTTTGTAGGTTGGGTAAAAAAGAGAGCTGACATACAGGGAGTTAATATACAAGTACTTTATTCCTACTATGCTTTGTACTAATTGTTAGTCCATTATTTATACACTGAATTGATGACGGATTTTTTCGTTATTTCCCGATCATGACAAGGAGCACATGGCTGGTGTAACCGGTCAGCAGGGGATGCTTATTCCTTTATGGCACCTGATCCCACCTCTGATGTTTTGGAGGTCCGTGTTTGCTCTGCTCCTATTTTGTATTGTTTAATAGACTTTTGAACTTGAATAATGTTCGTTATCTCCATGTTTTTCATGCACATGCATATCCTAACCATAATCAAAAATAATTTACTTAAGAATAGTTTTTACTATATAGTAAATCAAAGTATTCTACTTCAAATTTCAGATTGTCAAAATTTCTGTTCTCCGTTTCATGCATGTATATTTCTATACTAAATGGAACTATCACTTGTATATTCACATTTTCTTTTAAAACTTAACTCACCATCAGTGTTAACGAATCAACAGATTTTAAAATCAGTGTAAAGCTACATGTACAACGGTGATAAGATACTACTATAGTTAACTTTACTTCATATTTGCTAGAAAACGTCTGAATTGAAGGTAACGACTTAAATATTTTTATTGTTAGTGATGATGTTTTGGTGAAATAAATACGTCAAGGAAATGTTTTAATGTTAAAATCTTACTGGCAGTCCACGGCAACATAGCAACTCTGTTTGTTTCCAAAATTCATAACAGAAGACATGTTAAGTGTAAAAACTTTTATTTAAATGACGAAACATACCAGATGGGCTGAATAAGAACTGATCACAGTTAGAAAAAAAGGGGGTAGGGTCTTTATATCCCAGGATTACAAATAAAAGGTTGTGTAAAATACTATAAAGATAGAACACATTCGAAAACCACAAAAATACCTGTACAAAAATTTTAACATACTATAAATTGCTTTATTTGCTAGTTTGTAAATTCAGTACTCATATAAAATTCTCAGTTAAGGGGCACGATGTCTATTTGGTCAAGCTATTTCTCAATTTTTTTATTCCAATTAATTTTGATCATATAATTGGCAATTAAAACAGACTGCAAAAATTGAAGATTTTCCATACCGTAAATCTGGAAATTTTTACGTCAATTTTTTTTTTTGGCGAATTCGGGTCAAAATGCTGTCGATTAATTTTTACGTTTCAAAATTTTGCGAATGACCACTGCTTTGTTTACATTTTCGTCATGGTAATTTATTTTTAATAAAAATATTTTTGCTAACGCAACGAACTTGCAAATTTGTTAATAATTTATCTACAGCAAAAATTTCCAGATTTACGGTATAATTGAATGTTAAACAAAATCCATGTACGACAAGATGATGTAAAATGAATTATTCTTGTTCATTTTCAAATAACAAGCAACACACAGTATTTAAAATACTTAATGTGTGTTAAACATTAATACACAAAAGCAAAATTTCTTTGATTTCGATATCACCTTGAAAAAATTCTGATAAATCGTCATTTCTATCAGATTTTATAAACATTACTAATATTTTTAAAGAATAGTTATAATATATTGACAAAAATTGGGCATATCACGTTAAATTACTTACTGTTCGTATCACGAGAATAATTTCCATTGCCTATCCGTTCAGTGCCAGGTCTGTTGTAAACTTTTCCTTTGCAGCAGAGATCTATCTCTGGTATGTATGTTGTATCTAGTAAGTAAAACGCAGTCATGATAAAAAGTTGATATTAAATTTCTAGATCACACCTAAAGTATCATCTTTTTCACTCTTTCTCTGAAGTCTTTAATAATATTAATTTCACTTTCTTTATGTAAAACTTGTGGCATTCAGCCAGTAAAATTATAAAAATTCCAAAGCCTTAACATTACAAAAACATTATATAGCTAGCTTTTCTAAACGAACACCTGGATTACAGGTAAACTGGGAAGCAGATTTGATGACACAATATTCCGATAGGCGAAACAAGGTTAAACTGGTTGAAAACTCGCTTCAGCTATCTTAGTGTTCTTAGATAATAGCATTGAAAGATTTAAAGAAAATGACGAATCTTTACAGCATTTTTAAAGAAAGAAACTATATAGCAGACATGTTACAAAGCTACAAATGCTCGATTTAAATTCAAATCAAATACAAAATTCCATTTGCCCATTTCATTATGAAAATTACTGGCCATTTAGTCATTATTTATTTTTTCAAAGGTGAATTAAACATATATGATAATACTTACCCCCACAACATTCTACTTCGTGTCCTTGATAATATTTATCGTGAACTCCTGATTTTGTACAACAAATCTGAGTTGTTTTATTAAAAGGCGCATCATCTGGTGATGTTTCATTCATAGAGTACAGGCACTTTCCATTGCTTAGCACTGAAACAGAATAAATGTTTAATGGTGATCAAACTATTAAAATCAAGGCAAAAACAGATAACTTACCAAGGCTCATAGAATCATGAACCACGACAACGAGACAAAGAAAATGCAAATACTTTTTGCAGTCCATGTTTCTTCTTTTGACTATGTAAGAATGCTGCACATTTTGTCTTTCTGATCATTTTCGGTTACATTTTGCGATGACGTGAATGCATGGGTAAATAACTCATAAATAAAAATATGTCCGGGAATTCATTTCCTTTGGAAAAACCTTTGTTCGTCGCTATCAATAGTTTTGTCTTGTTTCTGGAATTTCCCTTCTGTCAAAAATATCTTCCAGACTATACTTTAAGCAATATGCCTTTTTAGAAAAAAAAACGTGTTATTTTAAACTTACGAATTCATATAAAATTGTTTTTGAAAGGGACAAAGGAACCATTCATTATTTAAAACCATACCCAGATCAAGAAAACTGTTATATTCTTTATTATAATATTTAAATCCTAAGAGATGACTGATGTCAAAATTTTTTAAATGCTTTACATGTATGACCATCATTGACATAAATGTGTAGATAAATGGAAAAAAAATACCAGGTAAAAATTGCCGATTGGTTAATTAGTCATACAATAAAAGACCGGACATATTGACCTCTTATTTTTTTCGTACTTAAAATTAAATATTTGGATTAAATGAAACATCTGTTTAGTGTCCAAGTGCAAACATTGTATGTTAGAAATATCTTGAATCTTCTATTTACAATTTCTTTTTTATTTATTAAGGGAAAAAACACCCACTCAGATCACAACAAATTATGAAAGTGTCCTAAATGCATATATGGGTCCAAGTCTTAGTTTTTTGTTTTTGCTTAAGATTAGGCAGTTGACTTCACTTCTCTGATCTAATCGACATCATCTATACGCTCTGACTGGCTACTTTTTAGTCATCATGGTGCCTAAAATTTCAGGTTTGTGCCCAAATTTTCTCTTTAAGTGTCAAAATTGTCCACTTTCTTTTCGATTGTCAAGTTGCAGAACTACAATGAAACATTTGCAACATATTGATTTTCTAACTAGTAGAACGGAAGATGTCTTGTGCTTTGCTTGTCACCTTGTTTGTTTGGGTTTTTCTTGTCAGGCACGTGCGATCAAAATTTTTCATGGCATCAGTAAACACAGAGCTCAAAATCAGATGAGATAACAGGTGGTCCAAATAATATTGGCTTTGGAAAAGATTGACAATTGTGCATTTTTAAAAAAGTAATTGGACATGGTATTTTAGTCAATTGTTTGTCAATTAAGGGTACTGACCACAAACAAAAAAATGGATGCATGGGTTGATACAATTTTTTTGACTGATTTTGATTTGAAATGACATAAATAATAAATCCCTGAATTATAAAGAAATCGTAGGTTTTCCTTGGTTCTTAGATATGAGATTTTGTTTTGCCTTCTATATAATTCCATACATAATTTTGCACAATTTTTTTACCTTATGACAAAATCATATAATTCTCCCTTACTACTTGGCAAACATTTTTCAGGTTACCAATTTAAATGTAATTCTATGAGAAATAATGCCGATTTCTGAAAAAAGTTTGTGTTTTAAATAATCCTCACTCAATAGAGATATTCAATTTTAATCGTGTTAGAATTCGTTGGTGTAATTATAGCTTTTTAAACATTTCAAGATACCAATATTCATTTTCTTTTTAACGAAATGATCAATTATATACAGTGTTTAACGTTTTGGCCATCATCACACACCTCTGTGAAAATATACAATCCTCTACCATAATTGTATCCGGTAGAAAAGAACTTAATACTGTCTCCAGACAGTGGCTTGTCAGGATTTAGGTATACGTGTATGCTTAATCTTACCTATTAAGTATTGAACTGGTTTTTCTTTTCTTTTAGATTCCAGTAAAGCCTATCCCTTCATGTGACTATTCCAGAAGGTCCGGTTTGTATGACAATATAAGCAATTAGCTGAAAGGACGAAGCTTTCAATTGGCAACATCCCTTACTTATGCAGCAATATACCTTCATCACCTGCACACTTTTTTTTATATCTTTCAGTTGATTTGCTTTGCAAAATTATACTCTACGCATGTTCACTTTCTAAAATGAGGTAAATTATTGACAAACAAGTTAATGAAACAAGAATAAAAAGAGCCATCTTTAAAGTCATCATTTCGTAGGCTCTGTGGTCGATGAAATGACCTTGTCATCAAATACAATTTATCATTGAGTCAAATGCTGTCTGACTATTTTCATACTTATTATTAGTCCATTATATACACACTGAATAGACGATGTATTTTTCCGTTATTTCCTGATTACGACAAGGGGCATATGGCGGGTGTGACCAGCGGGAGGGAATACTCACTTATCCATGGCATGTTTAGGAAGTCCGTGTTAGATCTACTTCTATCATGTATTGTTTTATGGAATTTTGAGCTGGAATACTGTTCGTCATCTCCATATACATGAATATTATTAATCCTGAGAAAAAATGTCTCGCAAATAACAATTTGTACTTGCGACTAAAAAACCTTAATTGCTAAATTATTTGAAAAAGTGCTGAGTATATGTCTAAATATGTTGACAACTCATATGAGAGTGAAATTTTCTCAATGGACATGAAACAACAAGGGATCGATAAATGAAAATTCATTTGAATATTGTTTTTCAGCATCCTATGTAACTGGCATATTAAACAAAAGCAAACACTCAAATAATAAACATTGAAAAATAGGGAAAAAAAGACCAAAGAGACGCTTTATGAAAACTTAATTTGAGATTTGACACTGGTACACAAAAATAATCGATTTAAAAGTAAAGACTTGGCATTGACATAGTTACACTCTTATCATCAGATACATCTGTTGATAAACGTTTGCAATGGAGAGCTAAATAAGGAAATTTGCTGTGTCTTACTTGTCAGAAAAAAACATATTAACGGTTAAGATTGATTGATTGTATATTGTTTAACGTTCCTCTCGAGAATTTTTCACTCATATGGAAACGTCACCGTATGCCGGTGAAGGGCTTCAAATTTTGACCTTTACTCGGCACTCAGGGCCATTGAGCAGTGAGGGATCTTTATCGTGCCAACGCCTGCCGCTGAAACGGGGCCTCGGTTTTTAAGGTCTTTAATACGCAACTTTCACTTCATTGTGCCGAGCGCATGGCGAGGGAACAGTTGCTACCCATTTTTTATCGACTTAGGTCAGTCGCGGCCGAGATACGAATTCACGACCTAGAAGTTGTAAGGACCGAGGGATCATGACTTTTACTCTGTCATTCGTTGAACGGTTGAAGTGCGAACGGTGCTAGGCTTGCCCCCCCCCCCTTAATTCACTTGTACATCGGAGGTGTTTGGTAAGGTACACATGCATTATTGTAAGGCATGTTTGAAAGCATGTATCAGATGAAATTTGAAAATTTTTAATAAGGTAAGATATCATGGTATGATCAATGTTTAATCTCGAAGCGAGAAGCGACGCGGAGGGATCGTACCGGAAGTCCTATTGATAAAGCACCTACCCGTGGATAAAGCATAGGTTTATCTCACTGTAGTATCACTCACACATATGAGATAAATTTATTGGCATATTCAGTGAAAATATTATTTTAATACGTTTATATTGGAGTGTATAGTGTAATATAATGACACGTACAGTGAGACCGTTAGGGCGAGTGCAGATACCTGAAATTCAGTTTCAGTTTAGATTGGGCTCAGTAAACCGCCCGTGGTGCGTTTAAACCCTGACGTATTTTTACGTCATATTATGTCGCACTACCAAAGCGTTTGCAATCTAAAGCGTTTGCAATGTATCAAATCAGGGCGAGTTTATATACAGTTAATTCTCGATAAACCGCCACCTTTTGTGATTTAGAAATCATGGCGGTATAACGAATTTGGCGATGAATTGAATTTCCCATCTTTTAGGAAACTAGAAGTAGAGTTACCGTTCTTAGAAATACCATAAAGCGTTTCTATACTATAATTGCATGTACATGTATATAAAACATACTTCTAAATTTTAAAATACTTCAAGTAATTTTTTATGTACAATTACTTAAAAAAATGTGCAGTTATGAAATAAAGACAAGTACATGTGCATCTATGTACATGTAAATCGGCACGTCTGATATTGAAAAAAAAAACATGCTGGGTCGATCGTCGTGATATATTGCTGACAGTACGTAAAATGGTTTCTTGAATAAATTTATTGTTTATGGCATCATTGTTAGTGAAACGTTCACAATTTATACCGTATAATTATTTTTAGGCAAACTTTGCATTGTTTAAAGCAGAGATCATCAAAGTAATATTGTATTCGGCGTACTTTCACAACTACCCCTTTAGTGGCGAAGCCGTGACTAAATGATTTTTTAAACAAAACAACAGAACAGCATCATTGTAACAGTTCATATTAAAATTAATTCTAATTTAATTATTTAATTGCGTATACCTTGACTGGCTTCGCATGCTTTACAACAGGGATAGCGTCAACCAATTAGCCGCGCTTCACTGACCGCACGCACCTGTGGCGGTATATCGAGATAATTGACACTTAAAAATGGACGTTTGTTTTGAAAACAGGGTGGCGGATGGCGGTATGCGAATTTGGCGTTATAAAGAGAATTTTATATACCAGGAAAAACGTTCTTGGGAAATCATGGCGGTATTGCGAAAATGGCGATGAATCGAATGGCGATAATTCGAGAATTGACTGTATATATATATATATATATGTATTTTTTTGTCGAACATTTGTTCTTGCGAGAACGTTTCTTTAACAAGCAATGTATTGTACGTCTTAAGTTACTGCGGAAAAAAATCGTTTGGATCAACGTGCAATGTCAAAATTTTCTCTTTGTTCGTTGAACACTATCATTCGATACATAAAAAGATACATATTTTGATGAAAACTTGAAATCAGAGAACCATTTGTAATGGAGAGCTAAAAAATAAGAATGAAGTTTAAGAAAATTGCTGAATAAATATTACTTGTAAGAGTAAACTTATTGAAGGTTCAAAAGGTGCAAAATGAAATAACATGAAAAAGCTAATTCTGAACACAGTCCATGAGGTGAATCATTGAGAAAAGTATAGAGCATTTAAGCCGAAGTATGATGTCAGTTGCCAGCAATTTACAAGGTTCCACCTAGCTTCATTTCAATACGGTAAATCTATAGGTTAAGGT